ATAAAAAAAATATATAGTGGCGCCATAACTCTAAGGTGAGGAAAAAAATATATACTAAAATAAATGTATATATAGATATACAAATACACAGTCGTATTTTAGTTTTTTACAAATTATAATTAAACGACAGTACTTATGGTCTAAGATCCCGCTGCAGGATTGGTGCGCTCATCGACTATTTGTTTAAAACCAAATTTTTATGTTTATTTATAATTAAGAGAATATATATTTACTAGGGTGCCTATCAAAATTTGGCCGCCATTATTTTTAATTAAATTATTTTTAATTGATTTTTGGTAAAAAATTGCGTTCATTTATTATTTAAATAAAATAACGTCTACATCACGGTAATTAATATGAAGATTCTAAAAAATCACGGGTGCCGTTGCGCACATGGCCGCACCTCTTTGCAGCCAGGTGTAAACAGGTATGATTTCGATAAATTTATACGTTTATAACCTATTTTTATTAATTATATGTCAAATTGAAGCAAATTTTTTTCTATTAATTATCATATAAAGTTGCTTAATTAAATCTGGCCGCAAATAAGGGCTACTGGCTGTTAAAGATAATAAATATTTAAGGTAGAGTGAAAGAGAGTTAGCGCGTAACATCATTTGTCAGACGAGGACAGCGATTGTCGGCTGTGCGACGCTTTTAAGCCATTGCGCATGCGTCGAACGTTAGTGTTCTCAACCACCGGGGAGTAATAGAGACGACCTATAATAAATACTCAAAAAATATGTAATTTTTTTCAAAATGACAAATTTAAAAATTGCAACAAAAAATTAATATTGATTTGATATATCGACGGTCTAGTTAGCAATTTGTCTAACTCCTTATTTTTAGAGGGTGATTTTTTTAACATTTTGATGAAGACATAATCCAATTACAAATTATTTGAATGATTCAAACTTAAAAATTATATCTCTATTAGATATTAATGATATTAAATGGTATTTTAAAATGATAATAAATTTTGAAGTCATTGTTTTTTTCGTACAAATAAAAGATTCTCTAAAATGGAGTTAGATAATTTGCTAATTAGAACGTCGATATTTAATATGAATTTAAAAAATAAAAAAATAAAACCAAGGTGACTCTAAGTAAAAGAAAATTTTATTTTGCGAAAGTATTATTTAAAAATTTTATTAGATTTTATTCAAGTAATTGATTGTCTATTACATATTAATTAAACATTTAAGCAAATTAAAAAATTAAAAAATTAATCTTATAACTCTTATATTTCCGTAACTCTTTTTTAAAAATCTGAATCATCGGAGCTTTCTGTTGTACTATCATCGGAGCTATCACTTTCATCGCTACAAATATCAGAATCGTCGTTATCGGAAGCTTTGTTCATGGATTCACATAGCACACTATTAACTTGCGTTGGAGTTGAGTCTCCCAGGAACCATGTTGGTTTTAAAAACCATCTAGTACCAGCCAGCCATTCTGGGCTGAATTTGTTGCAATTTTAAATTTGTCATTTTGAAAAAAAAATCATATTTTTTGGAGTATTTATTATAAGTCGTCTCTATTACTCCCCGGTGGTTGAGAACACTAACGTTCGACGCATGCGCAATGGCTTAAAAGCGTCGCACAGCCGACAATCGCTGTCCTCGTCTGACAAATGATGTTACGCGCTAACTCTCTTTCACTCTACCTTAAATATTTATTATCTTTAACAGCCAGTAGCCCTTATTTGCGGCCAGATTTAATTAAGCAACTTTATATGATAATTAATAGAAAAAAATTAGCTTCAATTTGACATATAATTAATAAAAATAGGTTATAAACGTATAAATTTATCGAAATCATACCTGTTTACACCTGGCTGCAAGAGGTGCGGCCATGTGCGCAACGGCACCCGTGATTTTTTAGAATCTTCATATTAATTACCGTGATGTAGACGTTATTTTTATTTAAATAATAAATGAACGCAATTTTTTACCAAAAATCAATTAAAAATAATTTAATTAAAAATAATGGCGGCCAAATTTTGATAGGGCACCCTAGTAAAATATATATTCTCTTAATTATAAATAAACATAAAAATTTGGTTTTAAACAAATAGTCGATGAGCGCACCAATCCTGCAGCGGGATCTCGTACTATTAGAACGCTAATATTAACTAGGAATCAGCCCAGGGTATAACTTTATATAATAAGAAAAAAGTATTCTGGTAGGATACATTTTTCGACCAATTTCTCTGCCACATACATGGATCCATAAACACAGACTGACGGACGTCCAAGAATGATTGATTTTAATGTTATTATTTACTATGTTAAACAAAATAATTGTTCATAAAAAATACCATATGTGCTTAATAGATTATTTAACTCGATTTTAGTGCACTCTTCTTATCCTGTAAGTGTTATATTAGTGAGAAAAAAGTCATTCAAGTTTCGAAAGACTGGGTTTTTTGACATGTCGAGAGTAGAGCACTGCGAGGCGTGCAAAAGATTGGAAAAAGAATCCGTTACAAAATGGTCATGGGTTTTATAACTGTCAAACATTCAATGTTCATCTCGTTGATACGGTTAATTCTTCCCACATTTTTTTTTTTTAAAGACAATTCACACCAATTGACCTAGTCCCATGCTAAGCTGATGAAGCTTGTGTTATGGGCACTAGGCAATGAATATACATACATTTTATAGATATATAGACATATAAATACATATTTAAACACCCAAGACCTAAGCACAACATCAAATGCTCATCACATCGATGTTCGTCTCAGCCGGGGATCGAACCCGGGACCCATGGTTTCGCAGTCAGGGGTGCCAACCACTAGACCAATGAGTCGTCAAATTAAAGAACGAATTTAAGAGAATTTAAAAGAGGTTTCGAATAGATAAGATATACCCACAATATTCGAATTTGCGAAATGTAAATTGACAGAAATTTAAAAGTCAATATTGGTTGTCAAATATTTAGGCGTGCGTTCAGACATTAATTTTGTATAAACTAAAGGAAAATTCTCAAGCTACTACAACAAATCTAGGATCATTGTAACGTAGAGTACAATTTAATAATAGTAGTGGTTAATATTTATTTTGTATTAATTGTACTTTTATAAAACCATCAATTAATAAAAACTAATTTGTAACACAACTGTTAGGCGGTAGAAAGTTCGCCAGCTAGTAATATTATAAAGAGAAAGATTTCTTTTTTTGTAACGAAGGAACTCAAAAATTGAGGATCGATTTAAAAAAGTCTTTCACCATTAGAATACGGATAACAGAGACTATATTATGGCGTTTATTACAATCGTAAATAAATTATACAAAAGACATTTATCAGACATCTCCAGTATAAAGCTAAGATCTTCCTGACTACTTAACAAGATGTAACCATTTCCACATTCTTCCTTTCTCAGTAAGGCGTGAGATAGCAGATGTTACATATTTCATAAATTTAGGTTCAGGTAAAGTTAACTGTCCAGAGTTACTATGTAAAGTGTGTTTCCGTGTGTATAATACGCTAAAAATATGCCCCTATTGTATGCACCTAAAGTCAACACCAATTACAGAGTGAACAGCTTGGTTATGGCGGCGGGTAAGTTTAACAATTTAACTGTTGATATTGACCTGTTCGCCTCAAGTGTGGTGTCAGCAAGGAGAGCTCTGACATCTAAGTTCCTCAATTGCATACATAGTGTATCATTAGTTTTTATAAGTGTATACTGTATATACTACCGTAAGTGTTCATCAACTAATTTTAATTAGTTACTTTCTATGATAGATTTAGATGGTTGGATTAAATGATTTTATACCAATCCATTTAGTTATTAAGTACTCAATTATATGTAAAGATTTGTTTAATGGCGTAAAAATAACTTTATATTCAGTAAGTTATAAGCTGTAAAACTTGCCCAATAAATAAAATAAAAATATTTCCAATATAAAACAAATGTTCAGCCTTGCGAAGCAGAGACGGGCTACGAAGTAAGTATATTCTTGAAGCCTTGTGTTGCCAAAAAAATATAAACGATTTTAAAACTAAGGTGACTTCACCAGTATAATACGCGAAATAGAACTAATTTGAGTGTACGACCAACCAGGCTCCAAAAGATAAACCACTCCTATATGGAAATTGTATTCGTTTTACAACAAGCTCCCAAGCGAAATTGAGAATTATCACTAAATAAATTCAAAGCCCTCGTTAAACAAAAAATTAATCAACAAAGCTTTTTATAAATTTGAGGACTACTTAAATGATCCTAATCCTTGGGATTGAATTGCTCCAGTTCAAACAATTTGTATGACAATAGGCGATTAAAAAGAGTGGCGGAAAGTTTCGCAGTCTCTACCCCCCGCCCTTGCTGCGAACTGGTAGTAAATGTAAATTTACGATTAATTTAACTTGACGATTCAAAAGTGTACTTGGTTATACTGAATAAAGAATTTTGGTTTGAGTTGAGTTTGGTTTGAAGTAAGTATAATATATCACGAACTATTTGAGGAAACGATTGTAATTATGTTTGATTGGTTGTAACATGACAATGAGTCAGAATTGGACCTTTTACGTATATTTGTACTGTTATTGATAATATTTCATGAATTTCCACACTAACAGGTGTACATGAGCGATCCGAAGCCCTGCGGAAGAAGTGGAGGAAACAGAACAGAAATGTAGAGCGCGACTAAAGGAAAAAAAACGACGGGTTGCACTCCGAGAGTGCCGGCAGAAGTGAAAATTTGAATTTTAACGTTGTGCATTTTTGATGGAATGGTTAGGGAATAATTTTGCACGAATTGCTTTAATTATCAGTATAAAATTACTATCATTTATGTGGTAGAATACAATATTTATTTATTGCGCTATCGTACACAAACATGACAATTTATATTACATTAAATACGCCGCGCCGGCTGTCTACTCTCCATCCGTCTTACGAATTTTCGATCAGGTCACGTGTCCTGACGCGAGTTTAACATTTTTTACCCGTTCCGAAAAAAGTGTACAACGCCGCTAAAGAAGCTTTCACTTCAAAAATTATTTTGCAACTTAAACAAGTACATACCCGTCCTCTTCTCAGGGTCTCTGAATAGTACATCTTCGAGGGGCGTGGGCGGGGACCGACCCTTGCTATTGACAGCTGCTGCTACGAGACGAAAACGAACGTCCCACTCGAGACTCCGTACCGTCCACATTGGCTCATCAGATGTCAGATTTATTCTGAAAAAAAAAGAAATTTTGATATAGGACTTGTTAAAAAGTAATTAATTCAAAATAAGATAAAGAGAGATAAACGCTGAAACTGATATTTTTGATATTCAAAAAACATATTAAAAGTAATCAAAACATATTTTTCTATAGTTTTACTTTCAGGATTATGTTTTGTTTTTGACGACTGACGTTCTCCTGTACTCAAGTCTTAAATTGAAATAATCATAAAAATAATCTAGTTGTACACATTCTCGAATCCACTCGACCACACAAATTTAATGTGTTCAACATTACAAATTTCATCAAAATCAGTCCAGACGTACAGGAGGAGTTTTACTGTAAAAGCACGCACAGAAAATTCATATATCTTAATATATATAAATTACGTGTCACGTTGTTTGTCCGCTATGGACTCCTAAACTACTGAACCGATTTCAATCAAATTTGCACACCGTGTGCGGTTTGATCTAACTTAAAAGATAGGATAGATTACATATATATATATAATTCTACTGTACATGTGTATGTCACTGAACTCCTCTTAAACGGCTGGACCGATTTGAATGATGTTTTTTTATGCGTTTGGGTGACGCCCTTGATGGTTTAGATTCATAAATCAGCGCGGCAGATGGCGCTGCAGTCGGTATTTTCATACTTTGTTTAATATCCTAATCGCTTGAAATATATCACAGTTGTAAATCTAAACCATTCTCGAATCGACTTGAACACACAACAAAGTTTGCGAATAGTTAATTTACGTTTAACAAACGCACAGAAGTTTTATATAATCATGTGAAACAAAATAATTCACTGTCATATCAAACGAGAAATTCACTTAACGTCAGCTTTGTGTTAAGGTAATTAATGAAAACCTTATCCTTGTCCTGAAAATATACGCCGAGGGTACATTTTAATTATGTTATTTTTGTTAATAGGAAATTAAATAATGTAAATAGCAATTCTGGGCATTTTGTTCATCGATTAAAAACTGCCTCTTTAATCTTTTGGATAGTGTTTTTTGGATAAAAAAAAACGTGTGGCACTCGGGGACTGCCGCGGTAAAGCTATTGCATAGCATTTTTTATCAACTTATGCAATTATAATTATTTATTTATTTTTTATTTAGGTAATTGAAATTTTGATTGATTTTGGATCTGATGTTTTCATGTCATTTTCACACATGTACATGCTTTTTATAACATCAAATATATAAAATTCTCGTGTCGCGGTGTTTGTAGTTAAACTCCTCCGAAACGGCTTGACCGATTCTCATGAAATTATGTGTGCATATTGGGTATGTCTGAGAATCGGACAACATCTATTTTTCATCCCCCGAAATATTAAGGGTAGTCCACCCCTAAATTATTTTTCTTTAATTTTTAGATAAATTTAATTTTTTTTGGATCAAGCATTAAAAAATACATACAACCCCTAATTTTCACCCCTCTACGATCAACCCCTATTTATTATTATAAATGATATACATGGCAAAACGACGTTTGCCAGGTCAGCTAGTATTTTCATAAGTATCTAATCGTCCTCATTTTATCATATTATGTGATGTTTCAGACCAAAAAAAATGAAATAGTTGATTTTATTTATTTCATAGTTAGAAATAGCAGCTTAGTTATCTTCTATCATTAACACAATCATCGTGAAGGATCTAAGTATTAAATTCCCTTTAACTCCCACAAATATAAAATACGTATAACTGATGACTATCGTGTATTGCAGTAAATGTTATTACACATATATCTCTTCAATAGGCAATTTCACTCCATTACAGTTTTTATGAGCACGAAAAGTCTTCGTCTTTTATATAATGTTTTATTATGACTATGAAAACCATACGAAATTACTGTACAGTTATATCTTCTGTCTTAGTCTTCATTGCTGAAGATCGCGTCCTGTTAGGTGTCTGCTGCCCTGCTGGTATTACAGTTACATATGTAGTCAAAATATGACTATCGCATGATAATAATTTGACTAAATTACAGTAATTATAAGAAATAAGCAACATTCTATAAACCGGCCTGAAGTGATGCATTATGTTGTTGTACTAGCGTATCGTGCGGTGAGTTAGAATTCCGGAGCCGATTCTTTTCCTCTCCTTCCTTCCTCTCTTCTATCCTATCCTTTACCCTACAATCCTGTACTACCCTACATTTGTATCCCTTCCCATCCTTCCTAAGTTATAAATATGAAGGGGAAAACGAAAGTTATTTTGATATTTTGGAATGGTTAGGGAATAATTTTTTAAGTATCTTGTGTGTTGTGTCTTGTCACTCTTACTGTTTACTCGTATACAAACCGTCTATATAGAGCCAAGATTTTAATAAGACACAAAAGGTGTCCGAAAATAGAGATATGTGTACTCGTTAGCGATTGTCCAAGCCCCCGTCATTGTTCCCTGTACGCGAACCCTTTTTTGGGTCATTACTTTCCGGAGTGATTTTAAGGTTTTTTGTATCTTAATGACGCAACATGATGCTTTATAACATCGTTTATGAGCCTTATCTCTGGGTTTTTCAACAAGGAACAGGGTCCTCTCATACATCACACTAAAGTCTAGTATAAAGCTTTAAGCATTTATTTTCTATATACGTATAGATTGACTATGCTTTGAGTCGTCATAGAAAAAAGCTCGAGTAACGTGCAATAATTTACTTGATGGTCACATATTTTTTATAAGTGGCAACTGGAAACCACCGCCCATGGACGCCTTTAATGGACAGGCTGTGTTGCCAGGCTATATATTGAAGGCTACAGGCAGCTGGTTAAATGCTGGGTAAGGTCAGTTAATAATTTAATATTTGTATCCTTAAATTACATATAGGCGAATACCCATGGACTGCGTTGGCTGGGGCACCTTGAGAACATGGGCCAAGGTCAGATGGAAGGAGGCTCTTAGGTACCGCTGGATCGAAGCGCTGGAAGATTCTCATTTCGGAGCCCATACACTTGGGACGCAGAGTATGAGTGAATGAGTAAATTACATTACAAAACTATCTCGCTACAAAAAAAAAAACGTAAACCACAAAGCGTCCCCTTATCCAATATTAACACTCGGTTGGGTTACCTATAGCAACATTTATCCCGGAATTTTCCATACATTGTTTAACATTTAGCCGCATTGCTGACTTGTCTGTTATTACGTTATTCGGTCGGTTTTAATGCATAATTAACGGTAGGTGAAATGAGCGAGGCTTGTTTACACCTCATATCACTTTGGTATAGGATATATGGTTTCGCGTTATCTATTTATTATATATAGCGCAATTAATTTTGTCAGCTGTTATTATGATTAAATGATAATTCCTTCTTAGGCAATTCGTTTAGTATCTCCGCCATTTAGTTGTGTAATAGGCTGCCAGACTCCATACGATTGGCTACCTTCCTCATAACTTTTAAAATTCTTCTACAAAAACATTTCTTAACCATATCTTATCCTGCTCAATTGCAACTTTTATAATTCTCGTATTTCTGATTATTTTGTATTGCATCGTAATTCATGAATCCGTGAGATTAGCTTATTTTATTTGAAAAAAAATATTTTTTTATTAAAATACTTCTTGCACTTTACCCATGATCTTTTTTTTAGTTTTTTTTCCTTACTAGGGTGGCCTGGAAGAGATCGCTTGTTACCGATTAGGCCGCGCGTTGCGTGCCTTATAATTTTTTGTGTTTTGTTATTTGTTTTTCTAAAAATATAACGAAGGGTGTGTAAAATAAGTGTATAAATAAATGGTCATTTATTTTATATTTGGTTATTACTACTGAACATGTTTTTGGTTATTTAAAATCCACCATTGCCATTGGTTTTCCGTAGCTCGTAAGCAAATGGATTATCATACAGTTTTTTTTGTGAAGTTAGATGGAGGCGGGCCTTATCTACAATTTATAAAGACCTGTGCTCTGTATTATAATGCAAAAATTGATTAAATTAATATTTTATCTCATCCCTTAGGTCGTAGGTTCGTAGTCCGTCTGTTCCAACAAACACTCGCTCGCGAAGGAAAACTTTGGAAAATTTGAGGAAACCACTTGTCTATGAGATATTTGATCTGGAAAAAAAAAAAAAAAGGCAGAGTATTTATATTTTTTTTTTTTTTGAAAAAAAATCTCGGGGTTTGAAAAAAAAAAAAATTTTTTTATGAAACTAGCTGACCGGGCAAACGTCGTAGTCCCAAATAGTCGGGGGGGGGGGGGGGGGGGGAGGGGAGGAGGGGAAAGAAAAAAAAAAAAAAAGAAAAAAAGAAAAAAAAAAGAGAGCCCTTTTTTTTTTTTTTTTTTTTTGAAAAAAAAAAACGGGGGGGGAAAAAAAAAAAAAATTTTTTTTAAAAAAAAGTGGGGGGGGGGGAAGGGGTTTTTCCCTATATATCATTTATAATTGGGGGCGTGGAGGGTGGGAGTTTGTATGGCACGAAAAACTGGGGGGGGGGATACCCTTAATAAGGGGGGGGGGAAAAAAAAGGGGCCCTTTTCAAGAAACCCCCAAAAGAAAAAAAAAATTTCATGAGAATCGGTCGAGCCGTTTTGGAGGAGTATGGCAACGAAAACTGTGACACGAGAATTTTATATATTAGATTTAATTATATTTCTAAATTAGAAAACAAAAAATGGAAAAATACATTAATAATATCTAAATGAAACCATATTCACAAATAGATTTACGTAAAACCATTTCCGTTTGACGTTAAAAGGTAAGTCCCTTGAAGTAAACCTAAATCACATTACCGTTTGGTAGAAACGTATTTCTTATACCCACTGAAGGATAAATCGTTTAAAAGATTTTACATAACGTGCTACTTCATAATCTTCAAAAGCATTTCCTCTATGGTATTTCCCCTATGATTTCACTCAACACCTTTTTATTATTTATTCAAGTTCCATATTTAAATGATCAACTTTGATCGTAGCGTGACGTACGGCCTGTCATAGCGGGCATAGCAGCTGTCAAGCCATTCTGTAGGAAGTTTGACATATAAGTCAGAAGCCAAGATAGTGACTTGCAGTATAATTCAGGATATGGGTCGTAGTCAATATAGTGTAGAATATAACCATAGAAAACATTAAGTTAAAAAAAATTGCACTTTTATCGCGTCTTATATATCCAGTTATCTGTGCCTAAAATTATTAAGGTAATGTATTTTTATAACTTAGTTTTGAAATTTAAGTAGTACAAAAATATCTGATTCGAATTTTAATAGGCCGGCAACGTACTTGCGTGCCTTCTGACAGTGTGAGTGACTTGCCATCAGGTGAGCCTCCTGTCCGTTTGCATTCTTTAATAAACACACTGCCAGAGGGCTTGCGAGTGCGTTGGCGGCCTTTTAAGATTAGGTCCGCTCTTTTATTTCAGGACCCTTAGTCGAATTGGTTCGGAAATTCTTCAGTGGGTAGCCAATCTGAACTAAGGCTTGATTCCCTCTCGCTTCGCAGAGACATTGCGTCTCTTTGCATTTTTTACAAAGTTTACTACGGAGAGTGTTCGGTTCGTTTTGGGTTGATCCCTCCTGCTTCTTTTCAACACCGTACGAGCCGTACGACCTCTAAATTTCACCAACATCATCTTGATGGTTGGAGGTCTTCGACAGTCCGTTTCACCAGGCATTTTCTTTTGCGAACAAGCGAACTGTGGATTATATATAATAAAAAAAGGTTGTTCTTGTCTTGGCATAACCTGCCTAAAGAAAGGCTTGTAGAACGACGTACCTACGTCGAGGTAACACGGGTGGAATTTATACGATTTTTGCACGATAACATTCCTGTATATATACCCTCAATTTGTCAAAAAAATTGAATTAAGCGGAAATAGTCCTAGACAGACTTAAAGTAGTTTATCTCTGGAAATCGTGAATATTCGGTTTTTACGTATTTTGATCACTTCAGTGGCTTGCGGAGACGATCGCGATAATATCAGTTTTCTATTTTCTTAAAAATATCGGTACATAAGTTTAATGCTGTTTAGTTTACATACTTAATATAAAGTGAATATGCCTAAAATATATTCAATATTTAGTCCCTACCCATATTTAATATCTATCAAACGATGATTTATTCATTTTTAACGAATGCCCCGTCCAAATTTTTCCAATCTTGGCGTTCTCAAGCGGTTCGAGTCCACATTGGACCCGCTACCTTTTTTATATTACCCTGCCATCCTCTTATGCTCTCTATCCCCTTCATGGGTACCACTCCGTTACGATGCTGTTCCGTTTTAGCTTCTTTTCTCTCATCATATAACCAGTCTATCTTCACATTAGTTTCCGGTATGCATCTTTATTTTTAAAAAAATTTACAAGTGTTGGTTATTCTTCTCGCTGTTTCTTTACTCATCAATTATGCTTAATTGTTGATTAAAGTGAGTAAGTGAAGAGTAAAGAGAATAGTTAAAGTTAACTATGGCAATTTATTTTAGATAATACAATGTTAATAATAAATAAAATGAAAATTATTTATTACGAAAAAATTTAATTGGAATAAAACTTATGAGTGTAAAAAATGTGGCAACAAAAAGGTTCGAAATGGTCCAAAAATGTAAATAATACGAAAGATCATGGAAAAATGTCGGACGTCAGTGTCACAAAGTCGAGGCACGCAGACTCGAGCACGAAGAGCAGATTGCCTCTGCAATATTAAAAACAATGTCTCCCCACGGCCACAGAATTACTTTACACAGTAGGACGGCTCACTGACAGCCAATACAGCACGAGCTTTTTTACGGCACGTGATTACTAGAATTTATAGTTACTACAAACAAATTATACGATCAATGATTGAAATGCCTCAATAATAATATAAACCCGTGATAAAATCGTTAAAATGACAAACGTCAAAAATATAATCCTATCCTGTATCCGCAAATATTTAGTTGAAACAAAATATCTAAGATTCCCTTTTCAGTTTATGAAATAATAAAAAGAAGTAATATATAGGTAAACATATATAGATTTAACTTAAACATTAAAATCCTGAAAATGTGAAGTATTTCTGAACCAATTCGACTTCCTTTAAGAAAAGAGCGTACTAATTCTTGAAAAGCCGGCAACGCACTTGCAAGCTTTCTAGAAACGTGAGTGTCCATAGGCGACGGTATCACTTAACATCAGTTGAGCCTCCTGCCCATTTGCCTACTATTCAATAAAAAAAAAGTACTACCCACTGTTAAAATTATTCTGTGTACAGGCCCTTCCCCCTCGTTGGCAAACGGTGCCGCTTATTAGTAAAATGTTGCTTTTTATTGCGAGGGTAGCTCAAGAGGTATGATTAGAGAGGTCTTCATTAGCTCAGTTTGAGTCTGCCCGTGTAATTAAGTGGACGTAATGTCTATTTAACGTGGCTCTTATTTATTTTTATCATTAAATTTATATGGCCTCTTTCCGCTACCGACTCATTTAACGTTGTCTTGGAAAATGCTGTATTTATGCCACAACTTACATATTTTAAACGGGAAAAAGTAATTATAATGAACTACCCAACGAGGTAGAAATCGCAATGTTCCAGAACTATGTAGACTGCTATGTGATTTAAAAAAAAAGTGCGTGTACTTATGTACGCGCGTAAGATAACGTAGTAGTATACTTCTTTGGCATTATTAAAAAAAGTTTTTAATTGAATGCAAATAATTAATTACAATTAAATAATCAAAGACTGCAAAAGGAGTCATTATAGTGAATAAAGTTCAGTTTACAGGTTAATTTTAGAATGAAAGAGCGTGCTCCTATGACACCATGCCTACTGCTGATAGAGGACAAAATAAATCTTTGTTTCTTTTTTTCGTATGTATATAATTTTTTTTTTTTTAAATTATTATAGTTAATTACTTAAAGATGTCATGTGGAACATGGTGTATTGGTTTCAGCTCCTTACAAAAACATCCACATTTAAAAAAATTCCACAATGTCCGTTCTACGCCCTTGATTTGAGAACTGGCAGTAAATGTAAAATTAGAAGCATTTAAAGTATATTTCATTTACGACGTTCATAAGTCGTTTGTTATTACTATCGCTAATTTCGTGAGTAGTTTATTTTGATGAGACCCCAATAATTCCTGTAGAAACTCTCGGTTGTGTAGCTAACAGAAGTAGCAAGGATAAATATTTATTTGATATTCTCAAATATTTATTACTAATGATTTTTTTGTTAAATCTCAAGACAATATCTAAATTATTCGAAAAATATTTGTCCTAAAAATCTATGGTTTGATCAAAGAGTCCCCTCTTTCGACATGTATCGATAAGTCATCAATGATTACTAACCAGTATTTATTATTTTCTTTTAAATTATTAATTTAACAGACATATTGTCCTAAAATTGCGCGGTATTATCCTGGTCCTAGCTCAAGATAAAATCCTTGATTAAAAAAATTACTATCAAGCTGAATCTTCTGAATAGCTTCTTTCATGAGTGCCCAACAATTTCCTATGCGAAAATTCTCAATTATGGTAGCTAACAGAGTAGCAATGATAAAATATGTGTTCTGTATTTTGCTACTAGCTGAGTACACCGGTACGCGGTACGCATGCGAGAGCATTGCTTACTGGAATTGGTATCCCAGTAGTGTCGATCACTGCAAACATTTTCTCAGTCGACCACGTTTTTATTTTATTTTGATAATAATTTCAAGAAATGTTTTTGTGCTGCAAAATAATGATGATTTTTTTTGTGTAATTGTTATGTGAAAACTCTACTTTTGAGAGAAAAAGTGAAGAAATTTAATAAAGACTTGGCTTTCTTGCAAAACTTTTCTATCTGCTCGAAAGCATCATCTAAAAATGAGATGTTATATTACCTGAAAATTGGAATGAAATAATATTATATTCCTCTTGTTAAGAATTTCGAGTGAAATCTAAATATTTGTCTTATGAAGTAGTCGATCGAATATTTACTTACTTTATTTTTAAAATAATTGAAACATAATTTATTAAGTTCATATTTTTACGTAATTATGTAAAATCGATCATTACATTGTAACATTCTATTGTAGCATTGTATTATTGTTACATTTTAAACAATAATTTTTGATAGTAAAATTACAATAAATTATTATATTATTTTTATTTATATTTATTTTAGAGTCAGATATCACGAGTGAAGAAAGTGAAACAGATGAAGATGATAGATGTTGTAGCGAAATTTATCAGATGAATCTGATGAAGATTAACTTCTTTATATATGAATACACAAATTTTTGTACCTAGATTACTAAAAAATAAAGTTATTTAAATTTTAAAAAATTTTCACTGTATTTATTTTACAATAGGAAACGAAAAAATTACAATTCTTGTCGGACTAGTGATAATACCTGTTTTCTTGTAGGACTTTTTCATTTGGCAGAGAACACACTAACCTATTAAGATATTTTGTCCTACAGTTAGTAATGAGAAAAATGGTTTGTGGTATTAACAATTTCTGAGCGTAGGACCAGGATAACGTACCGCGCAATTTGTAGGACAATATGTCTGTTAAATTACATAAATATTAACTAAGTAAAAATAAATAAATCACTGTTAGTAATCATTTATGATGACCTCGTTATCGATACAGCGGAAAGAGGGACTCTTTGATCAAACCATAGATTTTGTAGGACAAATATTTTTTCGAATAATTTAGATAATTGTCTTGAGATTTAACAAAAAAAAAATCATTAGTAATAAAATTGAGAATCATCAAATCAACATATTTTATCCTTGCTACTTCTGTTAGCTACCACAACCGAGAGTTTCGTACAGGAAATTATTGGGCGTCTCATCAAAATAAAGCAACTCGCGGAAAATTAGCTTGATAGTAATCAAGTGCAAAAATGGGCGATGGATCCCGGACTAATAGTGTACAATGTGTTAATGAATAAATGATTTTGACTTTGTGTCAAGATGAATCAAGGTATATAATAATTAAACATATACACCGATCCAAGTCCGATTAGTCACTAGTAGCACGTACCCTTCACGAGTACCACGCATGGCCAGCCGACACAACAATCATACTTCATAGTTATATAAAAAGTTTATCACAAATATTAGCCTTTGTACCTGTTTCTACGTAATAAGACCACTATTTTATAGAACAAAACGAATTTTGAATATGGGCCGATTATCCCCTAAACTTATTTGAAAAGGCCTACATTAGTTACCCAAAGGGTTCGGAATTAACTTTCTAATATACATAACAATGATCATAATAATTATTCAACGTACGTAAATTTATTAATTTATAATTTGCACCCTTTGGACTAGACTTTTGGGCGTTACACAGGCCCTAGTTAAATATTTACGTTGGCGCCTGGTAGACAGTACCGGTGACCTCAGATCTTTAATTGCTCATCGAATAAGTATCGTAATACATCGAGGAAATACCATCAGCATTCAAAATCTAAACTTGTAAATATTTAAAAAAACGGATAATTTACATTTACAATCAGTTCCCAAATAGGCGAAGAGCGGGCGAGAAGAGCTTCCAAATACTCTCCTCCAGTCTTTTCATTGCCAAGTTTTGATGAACAAGGCAGTTGGAACTACCGTTTTTCTATTTATGTTTACAACAGATCCTCTGGCCTAACTCAGAGATATTCTAAAGGCTATAATATTTGTTGGTGGTGCAGGATATACGGAATGCCGTCCGCACCATTTGTGTATTCTTAAAATAGAAGCATAATAGGAAAGAAGCAGCACGGTTTCCCGCGGTTCTCGCTTTACCCTAGGAGGGTAATATGTACTTACACTATAAGAACTACAGAATATATGAGAACAAAAGAAATATATATATTTTAGTGTTCTATAAATTCGTTTTTAATTTTAATTTATGTTTAAAATCATACAAAATTAAGACATTTAAGTGTTATACTCGCCAAACCAAATAAAATTCGTAAAAAGGTACAATTTCATTATGATTTCTTCCTTTATAATCTGTGATAGACTATACTATAAAAGTTCGAGTGTTTAAATTTAGAACGAAATAACAACATTTAAACAACTTGACGGTAACCACGGTGTCAAAGAAGTCTGTAATGAGCTTTTTATAAGTTTCATAAACCCAGATTGCGATAAGTAATGAATGAATTAACCAAGGTAAGTTTTATAAGCAGTAGGCAGTAATAAGTACCTGGGTTTCCCCTCGTTTCCTGAATAGACTTCGAGTAGAAAATGCTGCGGCAGGCCCCCATCAAAGCCAGCCACACAGGACACTTCGACGGAATCTGATGTTTGATTCCACAATGTACAATTCCTCGGTGCATGGGGCTTGCCTGGAAATATCAATAATTAATATTATAAATATATTGTTATAATACATTTATTGTCTTAGGATGGTGGGGACAATAAATTAGAAAGAAGACGGGACGGGTTTGCTTACTATCTATATAAAGTCTTGCGGGGTGGGGGAGCAACCCAAGTGTTCTTTGAGAACTTGGTTTCTTTGTAGGGGATATGTGCGACGGCGAAGGCCAAGGTTATTTGCGATACCAAGGGCCAGTACCAATCTGTTGCATAGATGCCCGTTAAAAAACCTCGCACCTACTGAATGCTGTCTCCAACACTATATATTTATATGTTCACAAAGAGAGTTAGCGATATTATGTATATTTTGATTATTTACATATATACTTTACATTTTTTTAGATTCGAGGACCCGATTAAAAGAAATCTGTGTTCCCAGTTCTAGTATCAGACTAAACACTATAAACTGTACTCTTAATAATAAATAGTAACTCAAAAATTACGGTTTTAACTTATTAAGTTACTTATTAACTTATATTATGATTGCTTAGTTTGAATTACTGTAATATTTATACCATCAGCCGAACTCGTAGTTGTAATATCCCAATAGAAAACAAACTTTTATTTAATTCAGAATACATTTTATATTTTTGGCATTGTATTAAAATGGTTGTGGCTGACTTGATATATTTTCTCTGGATTAGCTTTTGTTAGTGTCCATATATATTAAGATTACTAGCTGATCCGGCAAACGTCATTTTGCCATGTACATATATCATTTATAATAAAAAATAGGGGTTGATCGTAGAGGGGTGAAAATAGGGGTTGTATGTATTTTTTAATGCTATATCATAAAAAAATAAATAATAAATAATTTATCCAAAAATAAAAAAAAATAATTTAGGGGTGGACTACCCTTAACATTTAGGGGGATGAAAAAAAATATTTTGTCCGATTCTCAGACATACACAAAATTTCATGAGAATCGGTCAAGCCGTTTCGGAGGAGTATGGCAACGAAAACTGTGACACGAGAATTTTATATATTAGATTAAAAACGAACTATGTATGATGAAATTTATTCTATCACTGGTCTACGCTGCTGTAGGCTTTTTCTTCATTTTATTATTATTTTAATTGTGATTCACAATAACCGTACGGGAACTCGCATGTTTAAGATAAAAATAATTTACTGCTTTGTCACAAAATTTATCAATGACATTATTGTCCATAAAGGGTTGTTTATACAACCTCAGTCTCACCAAAATTAAAGGAAATTCATATACAATTATTCAACCTAGTTCACGGCTTAATCTCAAAGTAAAGGAATATCGAAATACTGAAAGGCTTGGCCCCGTTTGGACAAAAGGTCAAGGTAAGGTCACGCACTTAGTATATTAAATGCATGGATTCTCTGATAACAATAAAAAATAGATTACATTATAAAGAAAATTACTTAGTAGGTGCAATGTGACCTCGTCCGAAGTTAGGCTTAAGAATTTTAAATGTGACTTAATTTTCATAATACGTAATGAATCAACATCACCAAGTTGCAGAATAAGCTAGCAATTTAATGCCTTAAATATTATATATAAAAGAAAAGTAATAAAATACTGTAACTGACCTGTTTTGTGTGTACATGGAACAATAAAATTAAAAAAAGTGGAACGCGTCCTAGTATACGATCGTTAACAACAAGTCCTATTTTTTTTACGAAAAATGTAACCTGTCATTACTTAATGTACAGTGTTCTTATACGAAATCTTATTTTGAGAAGGATACTAAAAGAATATATATTTTTTAGTAATAAAAGTGCAAAAAAATGTTTGTCCGATAGCGCATAAGTCATATAGTAAACAATATTGATAGTAAAAGGTGAATTTCTAAGCAAAAGGTCTTACCCGCTGCAACCATTTGGAAAACGCAAGGCGTCAGCTGGTTACCCACTTCATTGGACGCTGAACATGATAACGTGCCATAGTCCAGGTCTGCTACTGGTGTGTATCTAGAATTAAAGCAATATACACATAATTATATATAGTGAAAACAACGGTACTTGTTAAAAAAGATTTCTTAATAATAATAAAACCAATGGCGGTACAATTCTTAGCTTCAAACTACAAAACTAGAACTGACAGTACTATATTTTTTATACATTATGCGGAATACTACTTAATATGCCGGATATTAAGAAAAACTTTAGTCAAGAAACAGATATAAATATCTGAGGCCAAGACCAAGAGTTGAGCCTACGGATTGTCCATCAAGGGCCATCATCAAGTCATCGCCCACTGAGACCTATTTTAGTTGGTGCTTTGCCGGCCTTTAATTTAACATTAAATAATACATTTAAAGAAAAACACTTTTTACCGGATTAAAGTTATGTTTATTATTATAAATTTACAACTATTTGACATAATTTTAAATTTATCCGACGTTTCGCGTGCTTTACAGCGTGCGTGGTCACGGTGACGGTGAATTATGTCAAATAGTTGTAAATTTATAATAATAAACATAACTTTAATCCGGTAAAAAGTGTTCTTCTTTAAATGTGTAAAGGTTATGTTAATCAAAGACAATACTATTAAATAATACAACCTAGCTATAGGGCAGTTTTTATGAAAGGAAGCTTTTTACAAATAAAGTCTTTAAAAGGAGTCTCAAAAAAGTATTTTTAACTCGTAATTTTTCAGAAAAGCATAAAAATAAAACCTACTTGAGACTAGACGCGCTCCCGTTTGATGTATATCGGTCCGCAGCAACGTCTATCGTTTCACCAGAGTTATTGAACTTCCATTTGAAAACTGCAGCCGGTGGATCCGCGTCCACCTCGCATACGATCACTACTGACTCTCCTCTTGCAGCCCCTACCACTGATACACCAGTAGTACTACCAGTACGGCATGAAGGAGCGTCTGAAAAAATTTAATTCATAAGTGGAGGCGTAGAATATGATTTTCTATAGTAAGATAAGAAAATAAGAAAAAAAAAACGAGTAAGTAATATTTAAAATAAATAATAAATTAATAAAAAAATGGCTTGGAAGTCTTCTTTGGCAGAGGAAAAGCTTTAAAGCGAACTTCACAAGGCATTTCCTTATACGAACTAGAAAGCTATGGAATCGCTCCCAATGAAGGTCCTCTACAACCTCGAAGTATTTAAGAAAACGCTACGTTACCAGCTTTTTTATGGTCCTGTAGACTCGTTTGCCATCGTATTTTATTAAAAAAATTGGAAGTACGTCTTTAGCTTTGAGCTAGACGTAAAAAAACGTATTGATGCTTACTAATGAAACCTACAATATTATTAATTAAAAAGAGAATCAATTTAAACACAAATCAATCAATATGTACTGAAGTGTAAAAATGATATCAATCTTGATAGAAATCAGTATTAATTAAAAAGCAATTGATAATAAAAATATATACTAAGGTGACCCTTATTGGGATTATATAGTTTTATATAAACATACAACACGTTATACGTGTATTAGTACTATTCATAATCATATGAATGCAGAAGCATTTATGTATTTGTATGACCTTCCATTTGGACAGTAGTACTTCAAATTTTTACTAGCCTCCAAAATATATTATATTGATTAAGTATTCAAAGTCTGTTGAGTTTAGTCTAGCGTAGTACAAATAATATAATAGAAAAAAAGCCTTTTTATTTCTTGCAAAAGAACAAAGTAAACTTAAAGCTATTATATATTTTTTTTTAATTAAATAAATAATACTATTTTATTCATGTTTTCAATGTATTTCCTAATAATTTTGTTAGAACTCTTCCGCAAGTGAAGGCCAAAGATCTCGGTTTTGCGTGAGTTGCATCCAGCTCCAGGCTCCAGCCAGCCGTTTTAGTAATGTCATCCGCCCATTTCGTGAGCGGTCTTCTTCTGTTTCGTTTTCCAATAGGGCCTCCCCACCACCTTTATAGTCAGACAGTCTTGCTAAATGTCGTGCCTATCTCCATTAAAGCTTTAAAGCATAGTTTAGGGCAACAGTAGCTTTAGTAACGCTTCTACCTTTGAGTATCTTATTAATTTTTCTAATATTGATGCTCCGTTCTCGGCCCCTTTGACAAGTTCTGAATTTTATTTTTATCTTCTCTGTATATTTCCAAGTCTGGCAAATAATATACAAATAACTTGACACTAGTCGCAATATCGTTTTCAATATACCGTGTAAATGAGAAATCATTATCGTATTCCAATCTCGCAATAGAACTATCTCTGTAATAGTTCGCTTTCCGAAGATTGAAACGGAGACATCACGATTGAGGTGGGCCAGATAGTATCTAAAACTCGACTGTCACAATACATACAAGCTGCTTTGGTCGTTATATTCAAAGCCGCAAAGGTTATTTTAGCGTGTCTAAAACAAATATAAGTAAGGTATTTCGGTGTGTTGTAGAGCAATTTGATAGAAATGAGCGGTAAGGTTGGAGTGGAATCGAAGGTGAAATGCATTAAGTGGAGCCGTCCCTTGTAACACGCAAACGGTCAGTGGTCGGTAATGTATGGGACTTTATGAGATAAATGGGACACATTCCAGCTTTGAAATTCTGTACGGTTCAAGTAGCTCTTGCTACGAGTTATTTACTTAGATTACATCACTTTGTTAAACATTATAGAATTTTACATCAGTAGACGAAATTATTTTATTATCTACTCTGGCCCTCTTTCAAAGGATATTATTTGTTTAATATTAATTGAAATAAACGCTAAACCAGTTCGACTTAGGGTCGTCCAAGAAAAGAGCGTTCCCAATTCTCAAAAGGCCGGCAACGCACTTGCTAGCCCTCTGGCATTGAGTGGCCATGGGTGGCGGTACCTCTTGACATGTGAGCCTCCTGCCGGTTTGCCCCCTGTTCTTTGTATAAAAAAGTCTAATTTATGTTACTCAGAAAAACAATTGAATTCACTATATTTGAAGTATTGATTTTTATGTATTGTTAATTAGCATAAGAAAGCTATTACACAGTTCTATGCCAAAAGATGTAATAACATGATTGGTATTATTATTAGATAAATAAGAATAAAAACAAATAAAATTCGCATTACAGCAAGCAAATGCTGTCAGTACAGACACAGGGACCAAACTTTTTAAATTTGTTTAATTTTTCTATTTATCATTTTTAAGTATTACTATTAATATTAATATGTAGGTTAGGAATATTGTACATTCTGTATGTGCGTGCTGGTTATAAATAGTTAATTAAATATATATGTCAAAGGTGATGTAATAAGAAAACACAATGACATCTTACAGGTTGTAAATGGTCAATGTGTCAAAGTAAATTTGCCAGTAGTGCGTCGATTCGATCGTTAAGTTCTGTTGCTCTCTGCTCGGTGCTTGCGATTGATGTGCGCACTGACCTTGTTTTTAAAAATTATCAAAATGTCGGGCGATAATAGTTATAACTAATTGGGAAATATTAATCGCTTCGAACCTTCGACATATCTGGATTTCTATTCTTTGGTTTTACTTAGGATAATTTATTTAACTTTTAAATACGGTTTCCTTACGATGTTTTTCTTCACCAAAAGACGCTCACAGCCGCGATTCAAACGCAGGACCTCAGTTTGTATTGTATATACATAAATTATTAATAATATTAATTAAAAGCTATAAAATCTTTTCCAATTTAATGCAAAATATTATGCGGTTTAATGGATAAAATTTGCGATAGATTAAAACAAATATCAATGATCCGTAAAATTATATTTTATAGAGCTTTTGAATAATAACTGATGCTTGAATTAATCACGGATGTTCTCGGAAAAGGTGAATGCTTTTCAAATGAGATACTTTAATAAAATTTCATTGTTCTGTTTTCACTTTTCTTTGTTTTTTAGCGATGAACATGAAAATGCACTTACTTGATTGCGTTCACACGTATTTCGTAGAAACTTACGATTATTAGAAATGGTGCGCGAATTTATATGTTTTTTTTGTTATTATAAATAACTAGCTGCCCTCGAATTTCGTTTCGGCTTATATGATTTTATTTACTTAGCCTACCGTTTTATTAGTTACGTATCAACATATGGAACAATTTGCTATGCTTCCCCATAGAGACTATTCGTTTTATCAGACTATTTTTTTTTTCTAATTGCGAGCTTTGAGCTTATCTACTCATCTTATCATTTTTATTTATATATATAATTTAAAGATGTGGGAATCCAGCCATACAGAGAAACATTTTGTTAAACAAAATGATTAAAAATATAGTAGACTGCAGGCAGTAAATGTAAATTTTGACACATTTTAATATTTCGTGAAGGCTTGTCATCAGTACAAATTATATGTCATTGAACAATTATAATATTACCTAGCCTAGCATGTGACTTTGAAACCTTCCTTCTTTATGCGCAATCAGCGGTGTTAACAAAGAAACTGTAAATAAAATATTTTTCGTCCACTTAGTTCTGAAGATATCTATAACAGACAGACGCATTGGTCAATAAATACTATAATCCATCATTAATACGGCATACAGTCTTTGACGAATTTTGTCCGTTCTAAGAAGTAACAGGTAAAAAATGCTTCGTTAATTTTACTACGCTACTAAAGTTTTTGAAGTTATACTTCTTTAGGCGCGTTATGAAAATTTGATGAGAGTGAAATTTTACGATGCGCGCGACCTATGACACAAAATTCGGAGTGTGATTATAGCGTGCGCAATCTACAAAAGAAATAGAATATAAGCTAACTTCACGCATATTCTATTTCTTAGCTTAGCAGCTTAACAAGAATTTTGAATATCCATGACAATTGACATCTGACAATGACATTTACCTTTTAAACATAGGAGTTTGAATTATTGTTTAAAATAAAAGATTCTAAAAGTACCTAGTTATTTTCATTATACAAGTGCGAATTTTATATGTGCGTCTGAATTATAATCAGAAATTGAATATCTAAATCAATACTAATTAATATGATAAAATATTTGTGAAAAAACTGTGCCAACCTTCCTGAGTGCTTCAATACAATTGAGGTTAACTATCCGTATGTATTATCGAGTATTATTGTTGATTAAAACTGAAACATGAACTTAATTAACTTTTGTTTATTGCGTTTGTTACAGCAACTTTTTAGAAATATTCTACGACCCTATATATCAATAATTGAGAACAAAGATTTAAGCACGAATACTAATAAGGAGAAAATGAAGGCTTGGAGCGATATTACAGAGAAGTAAACATTTTAATAAGTACCTGCATCTCAAAAAAAATGATTACATTATTTAATCAAAACATGTAATTTTTCAGATTTAATCTAGCAAATATAAGGACAAGAGACAAAAAACAATTTCAGTGGAAGTGCACTAAATTGAATAAAAAAAAGAGTTGTCATCTTATCGCCGTGAAACATCAAAAACAAGAGGTGGAACAAAGCCACCATCACCTTCTCCAGACACAATGGATATGGCAGAGATGATACCGCAACGGTTTGAAGTAGATTTCAATGAATTTGATTGTGATGGTGTCGAGGTAGGAATGTTAATTATAAATATGATGGTGATGTTCAAGGCTCAACCTCTCAAGCATAGGCACATACTTTATTCCCCTACAGGGTAGTTAGAGATATTGTAATACCTCAAAACATCCATGTTGCTCTTGTAGTACCGAAACTCTGTCCAGCCAGAAGTGAGCCCATTCCCACTTATAATGGACAGTGGGTATAATACACCTTAATACCTGAGTGCGCACCACTCACCATGACACTTAAATTAATAGATGTTATTTATATATTTCAGGATATTACAAATAAAATCATTTTGGAAACAATTGCTATCCCAAAAGCAAATAAAGCCAACAATGACAAGGTAATAAATCAGTTTTGACATAACTTGAATACTAAAAAAGCCAAACAAAGGTGTGCACAACAGTGACAACATAACTTAA